CACAGCAACCAAAATGGACATATGATATTTCAGGTATGTACCTGAGGGCACACCAGAAGGAATTTGAGAAAATGGGGCTCGAAGACGGGTTGCAATGGATTGAAAATTTGAGGAAGTGGGTTACTGCCAGCATTCAACAATCTTAGACTATCTCATTGATCCAGACGGTGATAATGATTCTCAAACTCATCAATTAGCATAGAGAATTTGTTTTGAGGCTGCAAAAAGCATGTTACAAGGTGTAATACCAGCAAACATTGAATGCCACGTACCTCTTGTTGTGATCCCTCATTCCTCATCATAGTAGCTTCAAGCCTATTTAATGCTTCATATTCATCCTCTGAGGTATTGCGCTGACTTGTAATGGGTCTCATGAAATTTTGGATGAGTGAAAAACAGATGAATGGTGTGTGCGCAAGGGAGTGATAAAATTTCACATGGATCACAGCAAACTTCCATACTTTCAAATTCTTTGACTTCAAGTCTTCAATGTAGCCTCAATAGCAGATGCAAGGGCACTGTACTAACATTTTGAGAGGTATGAATACTTTAAATAGTTGTGACATAGGCATAATAACACTTCTTCCTATAACTTTTTATTGAAGTAAGCTAACCACATGGACGTTTCAATCAGGACTTAGAATTTTGCAATCGCAGGCCAATGAAATTAAAATCTCAATAAAATATTGATTTTTGAGCAAGATATCTATGTTGGAAGATAGACCTCGACAGATTCATAAAATCCGGCAAATTTCGGCAAATATCTTGGCGCGCCTTTGGTACTGCAACCAGCTGTAAACAAAGATGATATAGTGTTGACTTTCACTTTAAACAAGTTAGAGTTTAAGAAAGACAGAAAGAAAGAAAGTTCAAGGTCACAGATTACCATTATGCTTCAGAGTTAATAGCAGTCAGAGTGCTGTGAGTAGTGCACACTCTTTCTGTGGATTGTACTTGTAGTGTATAATACAAATCAGAGGTTTTGTTCAGTTCAGATAAAGTCAAAGAAAGATTTAGCATGCCCGAGTTTGATAGAATCTCGAGAAGAAAAACTATTCAACCTCAACATTATACCCACATGATGTAGATATTTGTAGAGTTGCAGTGTGATCTTGCTTTTTCAATGATAAACCCCCTTGAACTTAGTGTTTGATGATGGTTTGTGTTGGTGTTGGTGTGAGTGTTAAAGCTTGCATTAGCATTTTATGCATAGCCTAGAGTCAGCATATCAACGCGCAAGTCAACCCTCACAACTTCAGACCTATCTTCACTAATGAGCAACTCACTACTTCTCTTCGAGCTACCTTCTTAGAAGGCCCAATGCTCCGAGTGTCTATTGTCATGAATATCGAAGCTCTGCATCAAGCTATCATTCTCGCTCTTCTGAAGGACCCGAGCTACATTGTTGGCTTGGAACTTGCTAAAGATGCTTCCAATGAATGTTGGAGCTTAGGTAGTGATGGGTTACTACGCCTTGATGACCATATTTATGTTCCGAATCACGGCGATCTTTGCCTTCAAGTTCTCCGCTACTTTCACGATCATCCACTCTCAGGCCATTTTGGCCAGAACCGAACTCTAGAGGCAGTACGTCGTCAATATACCTGGCCCAAGGTCAGAGACTTCGTTCGTGACTATGTCTCCTCCTGCACTACTTGCGGTCGCAATAAGCCTCAGCGTCATCGGCCGTACGGCTTGTTGAAACCTCTGCCGGTTCCGGTCCGACCATGGGATTCCATCTCCATGGACTTCATTGAGCAATTGCCAATGTCGAATGGTTATACAGCTACACTAGTCATTGTGGATTGATCCTCCAAGCAAGCAATCTTTATTCCAACTTTCGATACTATTACTTCTGAACAACTAGCTGAGCTCTTTGTTATTCATGTCTTCTCTAAGCATGGTGTTCCTAATCATGTCACTTCCGATTGTGGTTCCGAATTTGTTTCGGCATTCTTCCGGGCTCTCGGTAAAGCGCTCTCTATGGAACTTCACTATACCTCTGGATATCATCCGGAAGCCGATGGGCAAACCGAGCATGTCAATCAAACTCTCGAGCAGTACATTAGGATCTATTGCTCATACCAACAAGATGACTGGTTGCACTTACTTCCGATCGCCGAATTCGCCTATAACAACGCTCCCAATGCTTCCACTGGTATTACTCCATTCTTTGCTAACAAAGGATACCATTCCAATATCACCTTTCGGCCCGAGGTCGACATGAAGTCTGATCTAGCCAGAGACTTCGTCGTTAACCTCGATGAACTCCACACATTCCTTCGAGAGGAAATCCTTCTAGCTCAATCTCGTTACAAGGAACAAGCTGACAGGAAAAGAATCTCGCATCCGGAGTTCCCGATCGGCTCCAAAGTATTTGTTCTTGCTAAGCACATTTGATCTACTTGTCCTACTGAAAAATTCTCTAAAAAATATCTTGGTCCTTTCAAGGTCATCAGTCGACCTGGTACTTTGTCTTACGAGCTCAAGCTCCCGGACTATCTTCGCCGGATTCACCCGGTCTTCCATGTCTCACAGTTGGAGCCCGTCACGCCAAACCCTTTCCCGAATCGTACTCAATCTCCTCCACCTACAATTGAAGTTGATGGTGAAGAGGAGTACAACGTTGCCAAAATTCTGGACTCCAAGCTGGACAGAAGGTATAAACATTGTCCTCTACATTATTACATTCGGCGGGCCGGTTATGAAGGTACTGACGATAAATTCTCTTGGGTTGCTGCTGATGAACTACATGCTGACGAACTGGTACCCGCATTCCATGCTCGATACCCTTTGAAACCTGGACCTTGATCACAGAAAACATTTTATTTCTTCCACCGAAATTCCGTTCTCCGCCGAAGTTCACTTTGCTGCGTTGAGAGGGTAAACACAATGATAGCAAATTGAGTGTTTATCCCTCTCTCTTAATTGCTTTTCCTATTCTTCAATTTACTGTTTCACTTATGTTTTATTCACACTTAAACTACTTATACTTCAAACTAATTATTCTTATGCCGCTCCGCAGCCCGCTCGTTTTTCAGCGTCAAGATGCTATAACATTATGTATATACAAAAAAGGAAAAAATATTAAAGAAGGGCAGGAGGATACAAGAAGATGACAAGAAGGGGCGGTATGGCCAATGTCTGATATTCTACTCTACTGCTCTCTCCTTTCCTTTCTCCGATTGCGCCTCGGTTGGCGCCGTCTCCTCCTCTTCTCCCTCTCCATCCTTCTCCACTTCTTTCTCTTCTTCCTCTTCTTCTTCACTCTCCTCTACAATCCTCCGCCGCTTCAGCGGTCGCCACTGTTCGGCAGTCCTCCTTGACGGTCCCGCCGTCGCCGGTCCTTCTCCCATACCCATCAAAGCCATCCTGGTGTCCATGGAGATGAGTCGGGCATGATCATCCTCCTGCCTCCTCAGCAGCTGGCGGAGGTACTGATGGGATTTTGAGTTTGCCTCTCGCAGGGCCCAATTGTCAGCAAGGACTTGCGCTATCTGACTCTCGAGGACGGCTAGCCGCTTGCTGCTCGGACTTGCACCTCCTTCCCTCTTGACAGTGTATGGACGACCCGAGTATGAACATCGTACTTTAGAGTCGTGGCAGGGCTTGCAGATGACGCTGCTCTGCTTGCCAGCCTGCTTCAGGCAAGGGATTTTCTTCGCCTTGCATCTCTCACAAGGTTCCCTCTCCTCTTTGTTGTCGCCGTCGTCCGGATCCTCACCAACTGGCTGAAAAGAAAGGGGATAAGTACGATTATAAGAAAGAAGGCTCGCAGTACTTACCTGAGCCGGAACTTCCTCTCTCCCTTTTCCTTTCTCCCTCCTAATTTCTACCACGGGCCTCCGAGGGGAGACTGACATCTCACTGGGCGAAGTGCCCCTCTGACTTCTTGCTGTGGCGGCCTCTGCGAGTAGCCGTCGTCGCTCTACGACCTCCGCATTCTGCTGTTGAGCCTGACTGGCCCGATCTCGCACCTCCTGTGCCGCCTTTCTTCTCGCCGCGCTAGCCCGAGCAGCGACCTCCTTCTTTCTCCTGTCCTCTGCTGCCTTCCTAGCAGCTGCCTCCTCTGCTGCCTTTTGTGCCTTCACCTTTTCGACCCTCGCTAGGGCCTCCCAAAGAATTTCGTCCTCATCTTCATCGATTGGAGTGCCAGGTCTCGGGGGATCGGCGGGGCAGGAAGATGTGCTGGCAGTGGGTTGAGTGGTGGTGGTAGTACGGCTAGTGGTCATTTTTGGACTTAGAAGTTTTGAGAACTTGGGTCTTATTGGCAAAACTCCGGGCCTTTTATAGGGCAAAATGGCGCATGGACCAGCGAAAATTTTCCTTCGAATTGTACTCGGCTTACGGTGAACCAACGAAATTTTCCTGATGACCAAAGGGATAAATACCGTTGCTAACGGGATATAAAATTTTTCTCTGGTGACTAATAGTATTTTCCGATACTCACGGCTTTCGAGGGCTCAAGCCTAAGAGGGGGATACTGTCAAGTCCATGCTTCGGCGCCCCATTCCGCCGCTCGGTATTCCGAAGATCCACTTTATTTCTCCTTATTGTTCTTTCTCACTACACATACCCTTTCGTTCTAGTCCCTCCTTATTATCTTTTACTTTTACCCTGCAGGCACTACATGTATAGCTCCTAGTAGTTAGTCTGGCGCTCCGCACCGATGCGCCGCTCCGTAGATATAAATACTGCCTGTACGCTACTGTAGTTCCTCAGTTTAATTATCGACTTAGATTCCCTCCTTAACTCTGTGCTCTTCTAAGTCTTCAGGCTCATCGCCTTGAAGTACTCTCTACTATAACCTTAGGACTTAGACGTTCTTTGTTTCGCTCCTCATCACCGGCGATACCGCCGTTCCGACTTGGCTGCTACTAGCTCCTCCCTTCTATACTCTCAATCTCCGGGGACTAACGGCATAACAGCCATGTTGTTAATAACTTCACTACTGTCCCACTCGACCTCCCGCTCTTAGACACCTTGTGGCTCTGGCACGGTTATACAGTGTACATGATCTTAACAGTCATCGGCATGGTTTTCCTCAAAGTAGGAGGGAGTCGAACTCTTTTGTAAACCATGGCAGAAGGAGTAGGCTTAGAGGCTTTGGAATCTTCAACTACCTTGACGGTAGTTTGGGATTTAGGCTCTTTGCTGCCCACGGAAACCTTGGTAGACGAGGAGGCTCGAGGAGCTGAGTCCACAGAAGGGAACCCACTTAAGAGCTCTTTATCCGAGTCTCTTGAACGAGTGGAACGAGGAGATGAAACTGAATCAAAAACGAGAAGATAAAAGTGAATCAAAAACGAAGACAAAATGAATATATGGTAAGGAAATTGAGAAATTAAATTAATACTCACAAAATGAGGAAGCGTCAGCCTTAAGGCTTTCCATCTCCCGATTCCTTTGAAGTGCCCTAGGGGGCACAGCTGGTGCTTTAGTGTTAGAGGGAGGCAGGATGATGTCGGAAACCTTGGGAGAAGAAACTATTTTCGGAACCCCAGGAAGAACACCTTGGCCTCAAAGTGAGGCAAAGGGATCCAGATCCTTAGAGGGGACCATATGCATCATGGTGCTTCCCTCGCGAAAACGCAAACAAAACGGAATGGGAATTGTGGGGAATTGTTCAAGTGAATCAAATTAATAAGATAAAAAGGATGGGAAAGAAAGATACACTTACAGAAGCAGGAGAGCGGTGTTCAGGGGGAATTCCCCATTGCTGCCCCAAATCATCCCTCAAGAAGGCAGGGAGACTGTGAGACAAGTGCTCTGCAGTGAGAATGATATGCTCCGCAAATAAAGGACAATTTGCTCGACCCATCCAGAAGTCACGAAGATAAAGCTGAAGGATGGAAGTATTAAGTGAAAAAGAAGAAACAAAGGAGGAAGTAAAATACATACCAAAAAAGGTGCCGCCTCCTCAAAAACATTATATATCTCCTCGGACTCTGTTGAAGCCGATGACACACCTAAATTTTGGCTAGACGTCTATGCTGTGAATTGTGACATTTTCACGTATAGATTTGTATCAAGAGGACTGTAATTGAGACCCAGATTGACAGTCAAAGTCAATACTGAATCAGTCTAATAAGTTGAAGGGACCATATACCCATACTACCACAAGTTGGTTAGTTTACCCATCCCCGATACTACCTTCGGATAGCAGTCTACCTGTTTGTCAAACAGGATTATACCAGACTCGGACTACATCTGAAGGGTGACCATTCACGTATGACATACCAAGGGTATTCTTATTGGACCTTACACTGGCAGGAGTTTGGAAGAACTTACTCAAGTGACCATGAGCCAAGGATTGACTCGAAATGACTTTCTAGAACTCAGGAATTATCAAATACTCCTTCTAGAACGAGATCATGCATTAATCTAAAAGACTGCGATTTAGTCTAATAGACCAATCAAGTTGCATGGTTGAGGAAAATGACTAGAAGAACGATCGAAGTACTGCGAGGCTCCGAAGACATATCAAATGAATGTCAAAGAGTCCTGACATAGAAAATATTGAAGAATGCAATTGAATGAATACTATGCGCAACTCCCTTGATAGAGTATAGGCACAATGGGTGTCTATTGAAAGAGAGAAGCAATTAGTTTAATCCAGATGAATCAGATTGATAGGATTAGAATCAAGGAGAGCTGATTTGCCTCCGGACGAGGTGACAAACGATCAAAGTAAGTGTTGAACAGCAACGACAGTTGAACACCATTTGAGTCATTCTCTAAAAACAATTAAATTAAATGAATATCGAAGTACCTACCTATGTTTGGAGGTATACTTGAATCTTGGAACCATTATGGACCAAATAAGGACATGTAGATTCAAATTAAATGGTATCTGACCGAGTGTAGAAGTTTTCTTGCGGTTCCGAACGTTTATTGTATTAAATTAATTGTACTGTGCGACTCTATATTCTGTATGTATAAATAGCGATCCGATGTATCTGGAATACAAGTGATTTTGGGACGACGTTGCAGTGCTAATCCGTAAAAAGGAAAGACACACTCCCGCCAGACTGAAACCCCTTCGCTAGCAGCCATTTGGGCCCGGCACTTGTGAGTATAGGAACATTGTGTTCTGCTCCTTGTGACTGCGAGAAGTATATCCAGTTGTTGGGTATTCTTCGAACTTAGGATCAGTTGTTGGTCTTAAGGGCAAATCACGCTGTGTGGTTGTGCCAGCACATAGTTCTAGCCCTCCGTAGGGGTCTGTGTGTTTTGGTTTTAATTTACTTTGATTCAAAACCCCAATTCTTGATATACCCATATCAATACAATCAAAGCACAAATTGTGCTGAACCTACCTTAATCAAAGGAATATATTGAATCCTTAGAACGATTCAAATTGATTGATTAAAGCTTCTTACTTAGCTCTCAAAGCTTTGCGGAACCTTTGCCAATGCTACCTCTTGCTATTAAATAAATTTGATAGCAGTGAACTCGCATATTGCGTATTAGATTGGTTGGTTGGAGTGCCCATTTGATTCCTTCCTTTCTCTTTCACATAAAAGCGAGGCAAGCTCGTTAGCGGTGGTAAGCATCAGATTGCTGACTGCAACAACCGAAAGGCCCGAGAGTCGAAGGGCCATGCTGCTGAAGTTGAAGAGACCCCAGATGCAATGCCAATTGTTGTGGAAGAGGAATTGGAAAACTAATCTGCAGCTCTTGTTCCCCAGTATGAAATGGGAGCTGCATTGATCAGGTTCGTACCTCACCTGGGGAGTTATATCTCAATGCGTCCACTCTTTCTTCTATTGAACAATCTCTTGTAATATCTTTAACTACTGAATTTCCATTATCCAATTTGGCCGCGCCGGCCGAACCTATCTCTGCTCTTCTCAAATTCCCTACTCTTGTTGATTTTGGTTCTACTGACTCTTTTATTGATACTCGTTATGTTTCACAAAATTCTATTCTGACTATCAAGATTTCTCCTGTTAATCTTCGTCTTTTTGATGGTTCATTATCTTCCAAACCTATTACCGATATGGCAAACATCGCCATTCGGTTCCCTTCTGGCAAATTACTTCTATTGCCCTTTTATGTTACTCATTTAGATTCATCTTGTAAAGCAGTATTAGGTTACAGTTTCCTATCCCGCTACAATCCATTGATTGACTGGGCATCTCGAAACATTACTTTCTGTAACACTTCACACTTTGATTCTCCACAGACGTCTGTGCCTTCTGCCACCAACATTGTTGATGCAAAGGTCACTGTTCCGTTACTGGAACCTTCACCATTGGTTTTACTAACAATTCTGGAAAACCCTCCTGGGGATTCACTTCGCTCTTGCTCTTGGTCAAAACGGGCCAAGCCCCTTTTGTCCAAATTTCCCTTTGAACCCATCTATTCTTATGCCATGGTCTCTCAATTTGCTGCTCAACTGGAAACTCCTGAGGTCGACATTGCACTGGTCAGTGCTGCAGTCTTTAATAGGGCTTGCAAGGACGCTGGTATGGAACCCATTCTTCTTTGTGCTATTCACTCAGAGGTCACAGCCCGCGCCACTGACCGCTCCTCCACCACTCCTACTGTCCCTCCACTACATCATTCTATTCCAAAAGAGTATGCTGAGTTTGCAGACGTCTTCGACGAGATTGCTGCAGATTCATTACCAGAACACCGGCCTTATGATCTGAAGATTGACTTGGAAGAAGGTGCTTTGCCGCCTCTCAGTTGAATTTATCCTTTGTCTGAAAAGGACTTAGTCGCCCTTAAAGACTTCATTGACAAACAGCTGGCCACTGGTGCCATCACCCCATCTTCCTTGCCTCACGGCGCTCCAGTACTCTTTGTTCCCAAGAAGGATGGGAAACTTCGGCTTTGCATGGACTTCCGCGGTCTCAACTGCATCACCATGAAGGACCGCTATCCCCTGCCATTGATCTTGGATTTCTTTGACGCTCCAAAATGAGCTAAAATCTACACCAAATTGGATCTTGCTTATGCTTATCATCTAGTCAGAATTGCAGATGGTGACAAATGGAAAACCACCTTTCGGACCCGATACGGCTCTTACGAATGGAAGGTTATGCCTTTCGGCCTTACTAACGCACCTGCTGCTTTCCAACGTTTTGTTAATGACATCTTCTCTGACATGCTAGATGTTTGTGTTATCATCTATCTCGACGACATTCTGATCTACTCCAACATGCCGGAGGAACACCGAGAACACATCAAGGAAGTTCTTCGGCGGTTACGGAAATATTGGCTTTACACCAATCCTGACAAGTACGAGTTCAATATGGATACCATTGAGTATTTGGGTTATATTCTTTCTCCTGATGGATTGACCATGTCCAAAGACAAACTTCATGGGTTTCACAAACTTCTATTGTCGTTTTATTTATAATTATAGTAATATTGTTGTGCCAATGACTTGGCTTAACCGGAAGGGCACTTCCTGGATCTGGGACAATGACTGTCAAGAGGCTTTTGAAAACCTCAAAATTGCTTTTACTTCTGCGCCTATTCTCGCTCACTGGGAACCCAATCGTCCTATCATCGTGGAAACTGATGCTTCCAACTACGCCATCGCGGCGATTCTCTCCATTCAGACTGTTGAGGGTGAAATTCATCCTTTAGCGTTCCTCTCCAGAACTCTTCACACTGCGGAGCTCAACTATGACACTCATGACAAAGAGCTCCTCGCCATCTTCGAAGCCTTTAAAGCTTGGCGCCATTATCTGGAAGGTTTGGGTGATCCGGTGGACGTCGTCACTGATCATAAAAATCTTGAGTATTTCTCTACTACTAAGATTCTCACCCGTTGACAGGTCCGTTGGTGAGAATATCTGCACCAATTCAACATGGTAATTTGCTTCTGACTGGGGAAGCTCAGCAAAAAACCCAACTCGATAACTAGACGCTGGGACATCTATTCCAAAGAGGGGGATATTGGCTACGTGCAAGTCAACCCTCACAACTTCCGACCTATCTTCACTAATGAGCAACTGATTACTTCTCTTTGAGCTACCTTCTTAGAAGGCCCAATGCTCCGAGCGTCTATTGTCATGAATATCAAAGCTCTGCATCAAGCTATCATTCTCGCTCTTCCGAAGGACCCGAGCTACATTGTTGGCTTGGAACTTGCAAAAGATCCTTCCAATGAACGTTGGAGCTTAGGTAGTGATGGGTTATTACGCCTTGATGACCATATTTATGTTCCGAATCAGGGCGATCTTTGCCTTCAAGTCCTCTGCTACTTTCACGATCATCCACTCTCAGGCCATTTTGACCAGAACCAAACTCTAGAGGCAGTACATCATCAATACACCTGGCCCAAGGTCAGAGACTTTGTTCATGACTACGTTACTTCCTGCACCATCTGTGGTTGCAATAAGCCTCGGTGCCATCGGCCTTACGGCTTGTTGAAAATTCTGCCAGTTCCGGTCCGACCATGGGATTTGATCTCCATGGACTTCATTGAGCAACTGCCAATGTCAAATGGTTACACAGCTATCCTAGTCATCGTGGATCGATCTTCCAAGCAAGCAATTTTCATTCCAACTTTTGATACTATCACTTCAGAACAACTAGCTGAGCTTTTTGTTATTCATGTCTTCTCCAAGCATGGTGTTCCTAATCATGTTACTTCTGATCATGGTTCCGAATTTGTTTTGGTGTTTTTCCGGGCTCTTGGTAAAGCACTCTCCATGGAACTTTACTATACCTCTGGATATCATCCGGAAGCCAATGGGCAGACCAAGCGTTGATATGCTGACTCTGGGCTATGCATAAAATGCTAATGCAAGCTTTAACACTGACATCAACACCAACACAAACCATCATCAAACACTAAGT